CAGTGTTGGTGCTCTGTAGTTAGAAAGATTAACCTGATAAAGAGACTGTCTGAAAGAAGGCCACAGTTTAGCAGCAGGGCCCAAGGCCTGGAATTAGCTAAACGACCAGTAAATACTGTGCCAGCTTGGCACGGTGGCTCACGCCTGTACAATCCCAGCACTTTAGGAGGCCGAGGTGGGTGGATCATGAAGTCAGGAGTCCAAGACCAGCCTGTCCAACATGGTGAAACCCCGTCTCTACTAAAAATAGAAATATTAGCCGGGTGTGGTGGTGCATGTCTGTAATCCCAGCTACTCAGGAGGCTGAGGCAGGAGAATCGTTTGAACCCAGGAGGCGGAGGTTGCAGTGAGCCAAGATCGCGCCATTGCAATCCGGTCTGGGCAACAGAGCGAGACTCCGTCTCAAAGAAAAAAAACAGTTGTGCCATAAGTTGCTGATACCTGATGTAGGATGTATCTAGATTAGTATAGGAAGCTAAAATAATTCATTTCCTTCTTCCCAGAGTTGGAAGGGTTGGAAGGCTGTTCGAATTAGGTGATGTGAATTAGATGATGTGTTCTGACACTCCACTCCTTTCCAATGTGAATTGTTTGTGAGAATTTCCTAGTAGACTGCTGTTTTGGACTGCTCAGCAAGTTAAAAAAAAAAAAAAGTATCATCACAAGATACAGTCAAAGCTGTGCTTTTAACAGTTCTTAACATTTCTTGCAGTCTTACAAAGATGGACTTTTATATTTTATAGTAGGTGAGGTGAACAACAGTGGAAGATAAAATGTGTGGAAGAAAAATATGTCTAATCATTGGAGAAGAACTCAAAATAATGTGGTGATGTGTAGCCATCATTATTTCTTCTTGAATGTTTTCTTTAATATTCATTCATATTCTACTTCTGTTTGTTTTCTTTTTCCCTCTTTCTGTTCATTTCTTTTTTTTTTTTGGCAACTAAAGTGTTTGTGTATTAACCATTTGTATGTTAGTCTCAGTAATTAACATTCTGGACTCTTGTTTTTGCCAGGTGCTCTGTAGTGAGTATATAGTGTACTTTGCCAGCTTTTAATTGGCATTAGAGTTTTGTTTAGAGTGAGGTTTTTAAAAATATTTTCCATATAGGTTATTGATTGCTCTCAAATTGGGTCTGTTTTGCTACCTGGCATAATCAGAAAATAACTTACTTTGGGCTGGCCATGGTGGCTCATGCCTATAATCCCACCACTTTGGGAGGCCGAGGTGGGCAGATCACCTAAGGTCAGGAGTTCGAGACCAGCCTGACCAAATGGTGAAATTCCGTCTCTACTAAAAATACAAAATTAGCTGGGCCTGGTGGCACATGCCTGTAATCCCAGCTACTCGGGAGACTGAAGCAGGAGAATCGCTTGAACCCAAGAAGCAGAGGTTGCAGTGAGGCAAGATTGCGCCATTGCACTCCAGCCTGGGCAACAAGAGAAAAACTTCGTTTCAAAATAAATAAATAAATAGATAGATAGATAGATAGATAGATAGATAACTTAATTTGGAGTTTTTAGCAAGGAGACACACTTGCTACTGCCTTCTCAATGGAAGAATAGCAGTGCTTTATTGGAGAAGTCTTGTCTCTGTTCTTTAATTCCAGTGTATTTTGGGGAAGGGTGCAGTAGAATAAAACAAGATTGGGAGGAGGTAGACATTCACCTGTCTTAGATCTCTGAGTCATACCTTATCATCAGTGGAATGGTACATGTCACTTGGCACTTATATTTGGTATTTTAAACTGGAGCACTATTCATTGTAACTCATTTGATCATCATAAATCAGTTTAGACTGCTGTTGGATTGGAGTTTGTGTGTGGAGACAAGATAGGGAATCTGGTTCTTTCAGGTGTTTAGAATCCTTGGAACATCAGGTTCAAATATTTACCAGGTTTTATTTTGAAATAATTCAAATTTATGGAAGGTTAAAATATACATGTATTTCCTATCCCAATCCCCAGGCTGCTGACTGGACTAGTCCTAGTACTAGTCCGTGGCCTGTTAGAAACCTGGCTGCACAGCAGGTGAGCGCATGGGAGCTGGCATTACCACTTGAGCTCCGCCTCCTGTCAGATCAGCAACTTTGGATTCTCATAGGAGCACGAACGCTCTTGAGAACTGCTCATGAGAGTGAACTAGGTTACACACTCCTTATGAGAACCTAAGGCCTGATGATCTGAGGTGGCACAGTTTCATCCTGAAATCATCCTGCTCACCCTTCCCCCCACCGTAAACACATGGAAAATTTGTCTTCCACGAAACTGGTCCCTGGACCTCTTAGTAAGATTAACCCATTGTTAACATTTTGTGCTATTTACTTATTCATTCTCTGTCATGTTATTTTTTTTTTAATCTTTTGAGATTAAGTTGCTTACATCATGTTCCTTTACCATGTAATATTTCAGTGTATAGTTTCTAAGAACAAGGACCTTCTCTTGTTTAACTACATTACAGTTATTAAATTAAGAAAATAACGCAGTTATCTAATACACAGTCTACATTCACATTTTACTAGTTTACCCATTAATTTTTTTTTTTCTTTTGTATGTAAGACGGGGGTTTGCTCTTGTATTCCAGGCTGGAGTGCAATGGCTCACTGCAACGTCCGCCTCTCAGGTTCAAATGATTCTCCTGCCTCAGCCTCCCGAGTAGCTAGGATTACAAGCGTGCCACCACGCCCGGCTCATTTTTGTATTTTTAGTAAAGATGGGGTTTCACCATGTTGGCCAGGCTGGTCTCGAACTCCTGATCTCAGGTGATCCACCTGTCTTGGCCTCCCAGAGTGCTGGGATTACAGGCGTGAGCCCAATAGTGTTCTTCAGTGATTTTTTTTCCTGTCCAGAATCCAACCCATAATCATTCATTGCATTTAGTTGCCACATCTCTTTAATCTTCTTTAATCAGGAACATTTCTTCAGCCTTTCTTTATCTTTAATGACATTGACATTTTTGAAGAGAGTGACAGACCATTTATTTGTGGAATCTCCCTCAATTTGGGTGTATCTGATGTGTTCTCATGATAAAATTTAGGAATGTAGTTTTGGCAGGAATGTTACACTTGTGTCCTTTTCAGTGCATCACATTAGGAGGCACATGTCCACTTGTTCCCTTGTCAGTGATACTTACTTAGATCTTTAGGTTAATGTGATACCTGTCAGGTTCCTCTACTTAAGTTAATATTTTTCCTTCTGTAATACATAATTTGTGGGAAGACGCTATTAGACTCAATGTATACCAGTCCTCATCAAACTTTCATTCACAAAGAGTTTTAACATTCTTTGGTAACTTTGTCTGAATCAAGTTATTACTATGATGGTAATAATTCAGATATTTAATTGGGTTTAGATACTTAACCAGGTTTAGGTATTTAATTGCAGGAGCTCAGTACTATAGTAGGAACTGCTTTGAGCTATTGGATTCCTTAGCATTATAAAGTGCTTTGTGTTGAACAAGAATGTCTCCTGAGACTTCTATACACTGTTTCAAGTTCTGTACTCTGTACCACAGGAGATGAGCCTGCTTTTTTTTGTGTTTCTCTAACTGCCCTTCAAAATGTGTTCTTTTTTGTCTTTTTGCTGTTACTTGCTTTAATTTCATATAGTCACTTCTTGTAAGAGATGACTTTCCTGAATTTATAACCATACTGTTGGTTTTCTGATAACACTCATTCATCATCAGTATCACACTTAACCTATGGTATCCAAATCTGTATACTAATTCCAGATACAGTTTGATCTATCAGTATAATGGATCACTGTTTGCCTGTAATCTAGCTTTATGCTCAAGAGCATCAGGTTTTGTTTTTTGTTTTTTGTTTTTTTTGTTTTTTTGTTTTTTGAGATGGAGTCTCACTGTCTGGCCCAGGCTGGAGTTCAGTGGCCGGATCTCAGCTCACTGCAAGCTCCGCCTCCCGGGTTTACGCCATTCTCCTCCTCAGCCTCCCCAGTAGGTGGGACTACAGGCACCCGCCACCTTGCCCGGCTAGTTTTTTGTGTTTTTTTTAGTAAAGACGGGGTTTCACCGTATTAGCCAGGATGGTCTCGATCTCCTGACCTCATGATCCGCCTGTCTCGGCCTCCCAAAGTGCTGGGATTACAGGCTTGAGAGCATCAGGTTTTGGAGACAAATAGATCTGGCTTCAGGTCATAGCTCTGCCACTTAACTAGCTCTGTGATCTTGAACTTGTTCCTAACATCTCTGAACCAGTTTTGTCATCTGTAAAGGGTTGGTAATAGTAGCACCTGACTTTTAAGGATGGAATGAAGATTAAGTGTGCATGTAAAACTGTCAGTGGTGTCTGTTATATTCTAAACACCTATAAAATGTTAATTATTATTATACAGAAAGCATGCTTCTGTTTTATAGCCCAAGATTGGTACAGTTTATGTTTTAGCCGTTGTACTGCAGACTCAGTTAAGCCTGTGGTGAAATCAGAAAGTTTTAATCAGTTCTACTGAAGCAAGTTAGACTCTTGGACAAATATTTTAACTTTTTATGATAGAATACCTTTCATTACAACTTTTTTATTTTTTATGAGTTACAACATGTCTCCTCCTGCTGTCACAAAACAATCTCATTCTCCCTAGTCTGGTGCTGTGATATGTGTACTTGGGACTCTAAAGGCATTCCACTGACTATCTGTTTGTAAAAGCGTTCTTTACAAACGCTTTTATAGCTGTTTATTCTAAATAAATTAGCCAGACTTAAGGAGAACAGAAAAATACCTACTTTTGCTTACTTTGGACAAAATGATTATATATAAAGTAATCCTTACTCACCTAGTCTATGGCCAGGTATAGAAAAATCTATGGATTAGTTATATGCGTGTTAATAACGTCAAATACCAATTGGAATGTTTTTGTTTTTCACTTTTCCTTTAGCCACCCTTTTAACCTAGCTATAATGGCAAAAGCACTCCTTAAAATTTTAATGATTAAAATGTGGTACATAAATTTTATATGTCTCAACTCTGTTTCATGTTAAATGTGTTACAGGAATGAATCTGAAGTCTGCTGCAGTAAAACACTGAAGGCTTTAAAATGTTTTCTTGCATAAAACTCAAAACTTTTAAGTAGCTGCTTATGAGGATAGGGAAGGCAGAAAGCTAATGTCTGTCTCAAGATACAGGACAGCTGTTTGCTCATCAACCTCAACTGTGTGAGTAGAGACTTAAGCCTGTAACCCTATGTAATTGGGCATAGTAACTTAATTTTATTTTTTTAAATTTAAAATGCTTGAAGATAGACCTAAGTCATCATGATGAGACATTTTTAGGGTGTATTTTTTCTGGTGGGTAGGATACTGAGGGTGGAGTGGGTGGTAGATTTATTTATATAATATTTTGTGCAATAACATTTATAACTAATGTTGTTAGTGACCACACATCTTTTATCAGAATTATTATAAGCATTGGAATCTGCATTACTAATTTTATTATTGTGAAGCAAAAGATTGTAATCCTTTAGATTGCTGTTTATTTTGCAGTTGATTTCAGCCATTCAAAGTTAATATTTTGACCAAAAAACCATAAAAAAATTGCTTGGGATTATGATGTTTGATATTAATATAGAAAATTGCTTCTGGAAATAATTTAAATTATAATAATTTTGAAAACTAATATTTTTTAAAATCGCTTTATTTAATCAAAGAGTGTATCAAAATACAAGCACGCTGGTTCCCTAAATGCAGTTGAAAGTTTTTTAAATTTGCCAATTTTATTTTTTAAAGTACTTTGAAAAATAGAAATGCCATTGAAGAAAAATTTCTCCTTTTCCTTCCTTTAAGGTGTTAAAGTTAACACCTTAAGAATCCATGGTGGGTTGGTTTTTTTTTTTTCTATCCTGCTCCCCCCACTTTTTCTTTATGGATTTAGAAGTGAGACTCTGAATTGGATGTTTTTTTCTCTCTCTTTAGAAGAATGCATTGTTTGTACAGATGGAGTGATTAAAATATAAAACATTGTAGTGAGCAAAATGATGAGCATGTAGACAGAGACTTATAAAATCTTGTTAACTATTCACTGAGGCATGGAGTAGAAGGAATGTTGCGCATTTGTATGCACTAAAATGAAATTACTTTCTCTTTCATAACACAAATGTGTTGACTGAAGGAAAATCAAAATGGACTGTCTTTAGAATCAGTGAATGAGAAAACATTTAGAAAATGTGAAGAATACACATTGAATATGGATATCCTTTTTTCTTTTTTTTTTTTGAAGAGTCTCACTCTGTCACCCAGGCTGGAAGCCGTGGCACCATTTCTGCTCGCTGCATCCTCCGCCTCCCAAGTTCAAGTAATTCTCCTGTCTCAGCCTCCCGAGCAGCTGGGACTACAAGCATGTGCCACCATGCCCGGCTAATTTTTGTATCTTTACAAAAGAGGTGGAGTTTCACCATGTTGGCCAGTCTGGTCTCAAAACTCCTGACCTCCAGTGATCTGCCTGCCTTGGCCTCCCAAAGTGCTGAGATTAGCAGTGTAAGCCACCTTGCATGGCCAAATATGGATATTCTTAATGAAAGTGGTCAAAGGATACATGGCAGAAATGGAGAGACACATGTTGCTGCATTCAAAACTAGTGAAAAACCCAGACGTTTCACTTTGCCCCATTATTTTCTTTTCTGTATTGGTCAGTAGATGTATAGCCCACTGTACAAATCTCCAGAGGTTATCTAGTTCCTAATCTTTCAGTAGTTCTAGAGAAGAAATATTTATAATCTTGTTTAATGATGACAAGCCTCACTTTAATGCAGTTTTAGGGTCTGTAATATGAAATTTAAGTCTTCATTTACAGCCATTTGGCATTTCCCTTGAAAAGCCACGTTTAATTTGGTGCTGCTATTCTGTGAATGGTACTTCAACAGCCTTCCCTCCTCTTTTTTGATTAGTATCAAAAATAAGGAAAATTCAAGGTGAGAGAAGCCTTTGGAACATACTGATGAAACTTTGATTTTTAAAATGAGATTAGGAGAGAACACACAATAGGGAAGCGAGTTGCTTTTATCACTGTAGAGGGTTTAGGGGGAAATTGTATGATAGTAAATTGGTCCCAAATTTCTTTTTATCTCTCTGAGATGATTCTCTGTGTTCTGTTCTATATTAGTCTTCTCTCAAGGGGGTAAAGTTAGAAGCTAATTGACTTTACTGGGATAGAAAGTACATGTAGGAATATGTGAGCACCATATATAAAACTCGTCTACTTTATTCCCTCTGCCTTGCTCTACCCTTTACCTTACCGCAATAGTGTAGGCTTCTCATTGATCCTGTACCCAATTCTTTCATTTGGTTTTGCTTAGATTTGTAAATGTATTTGAGCTTCTTTTACTGTTGTATAATGCAGCGTATTAAAATGAAGTTTTTGGGCTATGTAAGGCCATGTAATATGGTCATGTATGCAGGCCATAGAGTCTGGCTGCCTGAGTTCAGATCCTAGGTGTCCCTTCTGACATCTCTGTGATACTAAGCAAATTACTTAAACCTTTCTGGGCCTCAGTTGTATAATCTGTAAAATAGATACAGTAATAATTTACTGCCTGGTGGGATATTGTGAGGTTGATTGAATCATCAATGCTTGCAAATTATTATCATTATTAAACCTGTTTGTTCTTTGAGAGGAGGAATACTAGGTAGCATATTATAAATGCTCAAAGTAATAGATTTTAAGGCTTTAGGATTAAGAATTTGAACATCACAAAGTAGGGTATTTTCAATTAAGGTATCATGAGAAACACCTACAGAAGAGTAGAATAGAAATCTTTACTCCTAGCCTGGCGTGGTTGCTCACCCTGTAATCACAGCACTTTGGGAGGCTGAGTCGGGTGGATCACGGGGTCAGGAGTTCAAGACCAGCCTGGCCAACATGATGAAACCTCCATCTCTACTAAAGATACAAAAAATTAGCCGGCCTTGGTGGTGGGCGCCTGTCATCAAAGCTACTCGCGGGAGGCTTGAGGCAGGAGAATCGCTTGAACCCGGGAGGCAGAGGTTGCACTGAGCTGAGATTGCATCATTGCACTCCAGCCTAGGCGACAGGGAAAGACTCCATCTCAAAAAAAAGAAAAAAAATCTTTACTCCCTGCCTTCCTGTCTCAGTCTGTTGTATGCATTAGCCCCATTTCACATTCTCAGTAGCCACATGTGGCTGATGGCTGCTGTATTGGACAACACTGTTCTAGATAGTTGGTTTTACTAGGTAATGTATTTGCATTAAACATGACATTTATTGATGACACAGTTCTCTTTGTCTGGAACATGAAAGATTGGCTCCTGCATCAGATGGAACTCTACCAAGAGGAGAAGAGGAAGCAAAAAATATTTCTTCAAGAATCTTGGTGAAGGTTAGGTGTATTTTCTCTGGGTTTTATATAACGTGATTTTTTTTTTTTGAGATGGAGTCTTGCTCTGTGGCCCAGGCTGGAGTGTATAGCGTAATCTTGGCTCACTGCAAGCTCTGCCTCCCGGGTTCTAGCCATTCTCCTGTCTCAGCCTCCCAAGTAGCTGGGACTACAGGCGCCCACCACCACACCAAACTAATTTTTTGTATTTTTTTAGTAGAGATAGGGTTTTACCGTGTTAGCCAGGATGGTCTCGATCTCCTGACCTCATGATCCGCCCGTCTCGGCCTCCCAAAGTGATGGGATTACAAGCGTGAGCCACTGCACCTGGCCATAAAGTGATTTTTAAACAATTTATAAAATGTAGTATAGTTATTTTTATTTTTCATTTTTATTTTTGAGATGGAGTTTCACTCTTGTTGCCGAGGCTGGAGTACAGTGACACGATTCTCTTGCCTCACCCTCCCAAGTAGCTGGGATTACAGGCATGCGCCACCATGCCCAACTGATTTTGCACTTTTAGTAGAAACAGGGTTTTACCATATTGGTCAGTCTGGTTTCGAACTCCTGACAGGTGATCCACCCGCCTCGGCCTCCCAAGTGCTGGGATTACAGGTGTGAGCCCCCGCACCCAGCCTTGCAGTTATTTTTTAATAAAGATATTGACAGGTGAGTCAAGCAGTGTTGCAAGTATTGAAGTCTGTCAGTGACTGCTTCTCAAATTAAAGTGAGCAATCTGTTTATATGCGATATGGAAATAAAAACTAATTTTTACATTTAAATGCTAGTAGATTTCTTATCTAGGCACACCTTTGAAGACAAGCAATGTGATGGGTGGTACATTAATTTAGAGTCAGGAAGGACTAGGTTTCAGTTAGTGGTTTTATTGTGAGATAAATTTATCTGTTTGAGATGATTCCACTAAAGGTTAAAAGTAGTCTAGATTTCAGCACTGATAATCACTTTTACTTTGTGCTTAGAAATAGTATAGGTGTTAGGGGAGATACCAAAGGATAGGAACAAGGTATTAATGTTATGTTCTAAAAGAAATCACTGTTTACTGGATTCTAATCAGGGACCAGAACACATGGAAATAGAAATCCATTCTAACTAAGGAAAGAAAAAAGGATTATTTTGAAAATCTTTGGAAAATCATATGTAATTGAATTGCAAGTATGTAGCCTTGGTACTTTTTATGTGTGTGCTATTCTGTCTCCTCCCCACCTCCACCCATGACTTTAGATAGGTTCATTGGGTTGGTGTTCATCCAGGTCTAATTAGCTTGTCTGGAGGGTTTATCCCATGGTACTAAAAGGGCAGCAAGAGCTGATTTGTAGGTATACAGATTGTCTTAGAAGGGAATTTTAGCAGGGAGGCAGTGAATGGCATGTGTAACTTCAGTTTCTTTAACTGATTACAGAGGAACATGTATGAGAATGTTACCTCCCTTATACAGATTTGGTGAGGCCTAAGTCAGATGATCTATATAAAGTGCTTAGCCCAGGGCCTAGTACGTAATAATGGATAGACGTTTTCAGTGAGCACTTACTCTAATATATACCTAATTATATAGTTTTTCTGACCTAATTTTTTTAATTTAGGGAAAAAATTTGGAGAATTTAGTAGGATTAATTGGTGACTTATGGATATTCACTCAAAACCTCTCAATTCAAAGTGGGGTGGCTGCCTAACTGAAATTTACCTCTTATAACTAGTGGCCTAGATATGCTCTAAAGTGTTCATGGTATAGTATATCAACCCTACCTCAGATTGGCTTACTGTTGACCATTGTTGAATTTACTCTTAATCAAGAACTTAAGAGTGTCC